ACCTCCACTGTGGGAAGCAAAGGCATGACACACAATATTCATGCATCAGTTAGTTTTAGAAGTTAGATTAAATATCAGAGGGATGAAGAAAGTCAGATAGTTTAGATCTCTCTGCCTCTCATCCAAAATATATTCATAGCCAGCAGTTTATAGGGACACAGTTTATGTAGACACCAGTGCCGACTTAATTGTATATCATTACAGAACAGCAATGGTTGGAAATCTGAAACGCCTGCCTAAAGATAAAGTCTAACCATTCGGGGGTTGTTGGGGAATTTTTATGTTTTCAAATATAAATTATACGCAGTATAAAATATGAAGGGCCCATTAATCCAGAAGCAAAGTGTGACAGTCTTGTTTGTAGAGCAGGGATTTTAAGATAACTGTGTTAATGACCGCAGGTGAAAGTGCAGACTAAGAGCTCATTATCTCCTTACACAACAGGCTGAGAGTACAACCCACTCCTGCCTCCGTGCTTCAAGACAGCAATCTGTCTGGCAGGTAACGACCGAGGCGGCCAAGTCGAGAAGTGGGACAGCTCACTGTGAGGTAACAGAGGAAGCAGGCCAAGAGGAAGAAGCAGTGATCAAGCAACATCCTTTAACTCCAAGCACTAAACGGCTCACTTTTGGGGTGGTGGAAAGGAAAGGTGGATGTGCTGACCCACTTAAATGAACTTTCTGATCTCTTTATTCTTAGGAAAAGTCCAACGTTCTCCTTGTTCCTTTAGCCTTTTTCTTAAACCTTAAATTAGGCAAATGCGCTAAATGTTACCTTCTTAACATCCGCCTGGTCTCCAGCAGCAAATTGAGCGCTAGAGTTAAGCCGTGTTTCAGGTCTTCTGTTGTTTGCTTTTCTGTGCACCTATGATAAATTTGTGAAAATGCAAAGTGAATTGACACAAGCAGGACCAAAAACAAGTGAGGGCAGTGATGAGGAGGTGTTGATGGGAAATTAATGAATACCAGACGGGTTGAAAATAGGTTGAAACTGTTATAACAAGTATAATAAGTTATAATCATTTTAACCGTGGACAGCCCTTCTGCCTCCATAATCATGCATTAGAAGTATTGCAGCATGCTGCATGCATTTTCTCTTCATCTGTAGCAAATAACATCGAGGTGTTCCAGTCTTGGATTTAAATCTTTATAAAACAGGCAAATTTTAAACTTCAACCAATAAACTTTAAACTCATCTATTTTAACCCTTCCATACTGTTCAGTTCAAATCTGTAAAAATACCCTAAATTTATTTCTTTTTACCTGGAAATTTGATGTTTTTTCTTAAATATACCCAAAATTTTTTAAATTAAAACCCTTGTTGTGCAGCTGTTACAGATGTTTATACACTTAAGCCGTTCTAGGTCAAATTTTACCCCGTATCTATTCAGATGTATTTTAAATCCACCAGTGTGGGTCAAGGGAAAAAATGATGATTTCAGAGAATTTGAAACTGTAAAACTGTACGTGTGTGTGTGTGTGTGTGTGTGCTTTTTTATGGGACAAT